GCTGCGCGGGGCCGCTCTGGCTCCCCCCCGGCCCCAGCCTCTGGGAGCTGCGAGCCCTGTCGGGGGGGGTGGGGAGGCAAGCAGAAGAGCCTGGCCCTGTTCCCTGCAGCAGGCACTGCACCCAGCCACTCCGCACAGGACTGGAGCCACTGCCTGGGGGTGTGGGGCTCCCAGCTCTGACCCCAGGTGGGAGGGACCGGGGCACGTGCTGGGGTCGGGTTCCCCACTGCCTGCGTCTGCTTGTGTACCACTCTACCCTTCCCTGAAGCGCCAGGGTAGGCTGGCAGCAGGCTGCTGCAGCAAGGGGCAGGGGCTTGGCGCAGCCCATTGGCTGCTCCCAGGGCTGCAGCAGGTAGCAAAGTAGGGGGAGCTGTCAGTAGGTGCGGGGCAGGAGGTGCAGCTCTTGCACCCCCTAGGAGGGCTGGAGGGCTGTGCCAGGCTCTTCCCGGAGGTGTGGGGGTGCCCCCGGATACGTGCACGGGACAAGAGCAGGCTGCTGCTGCTGGCTGGGGCCAGCAGCAGTATCGGGCTTTTCTTGGTGCTCAGAGCGGGTGGCAGCCTTCTCTTGTCCCCCGTGTAGATCTGGGGGCATGCACCCACTGGGAAGAGCCTGGGACAGCTCTTCGGCCCTCGGCTGTAGCAGCAGGAGCCACCTGCCCCCGTGTCCTGCACCGCACACCCACTGACAGCTTCCCCTGCCTTGCTCCCTGCTGCAGCCCCAGGAGCAGCTGATGGGCTGCGCCATGCTCCTCCCCCTGCCCCTTCACCTGTCCCAGCCTTACTCCAGTCCCTCCCTCCCTCACCACTGTAGTAACATAGTATCATTTTCCCTGATTTAAACCAAATGTTTTTCTTTTCTTCGTTTTATCCTGATTTCAACCTGGTTTTTATGTTTGGAAGATAAACACTGAAAAATTCCCCAAACTTTCAGTTTTTATTTAAAAAAAAACAAAAAAAAAACGTGGAACACTAAATAAAATACATTCTATATACCTATATATATGGCATTTGATTTTAGGTTTTTTTTTTTTTTTTTTTTTTTTTTTTTTTTTTTTGATTATGGAATGTAAGACCTCCCCTTCACTCACCAGGATGCGGGTCCAGCTGCAGCTTTGTGGTGCTGAGCAGCCCTGATATGCCAGTGCCCTGCCCCTGCCCTCATTGCCCCTCACTCCCAAGCCACAGCCCCCTCTAACCCTGCTTGTACCCCTTACTCCCATTCCATGGCCCTGCTAGTGCCCCTCACCCCCAACCCACAGTCCCCTGCCCTTCCCTCTCCCCTGAGCCATACTGGTGCCCCTCACTCCAACCTGCAGCTTCCTGGCCCTGCTGATACCCATCACTCCTGACCCACAGCTACCTGGCCCTGCTGATGCTCCTCACTCCAGACCCACAGTCCTGTTGTACCCCTCACCCTGGGCTGGGGCTCCTGTGCCATGCCCTCATTTCTTCCCCCCCACCCTGTCTCCCAGCGGCCCCACCCCTGGAAGCACAGACACCAGTTGTGCCACCATCCCAGCCATGTAGCTCCCTCCTCCCCCTTCCCCTGCTGGAGGGGCAGATGCCTCCCTCCCACCCCTCTACCCTGCCAGAGC